CCTGCGAAACTTGTTGACCTTTTTTTTTGCTTGTACGATTCATTAGCGTTCATATACACCACTGATATCGAATAGAACTATTTTAAACAGGTCGCTGCACTACCACCGAATTTTTCATTGCTTGTTCTGTGACAAAACTGAATTTTGGTCTTATAAATTGAAATACCTGAATAAGGGAGGGGCCGAAATTTTCCTCCGCCCCGGGCTGCTGACACCCACGGTACCACGGAAAAGACCGACACGTGTAGGTCTTTTCAATGTTATCCACATTTGATATCATCGTTTATCACATACTGCCGTGACGCTCTTATCTGTCCGCTACAACTGTCAAGAATTAACGCGATTGGCGAAGCGTAGTGACAGCGGGCAATAGAGAGCGAGGTCCTTGCCATAATGCGGTTTGCGCGTCAATTTTCGTACGTGCGTTAATCGAGCCGAATAGTTTGGCCGAATATTCGGTATTCGGCCTGAGGCCAAATGTGCTATTCGTTGCAACACTAGTATTTACGTCAAAAAAGATCGGAGTATCGATTTGTAAAATAAACCCATACTGATGTATCGAAACAATTCTGATAGTGCCTACATCAATATATCGTTATCGATTACGTCTACACTTACTTGTGTACAAATGAAATCTTAATTTTCCGCTTTATCCGAGTTAATTAAGTTACATTCTTCGTACGCAACGATATTTTACAAACTTTTCCGCAATGGTAGATTTCTGATTTACAGTAAAATATAACATAGGCAATCGCTCCATTTCGAAGAATTTCTTCCTTTTTATTCGGGTTACTTTTTGGACATGTTTTAGTATATTTACAAATGTCATTAAATAATATGGTTTTGTTCGATTTAGTGTGGAATTTCGTTCGTGATGTGCGTATGAAAAATGTGTAGAAAATAGTATAGGACGAACAAATTACTTTGCTTACTAAAAAAACGGCAGTATGCTCTTTATGTGCGATAAACCAATAATTGCTTTAAAATAGGTTCTGTTAAAACGGTTAAATGCCTCTTTTGAAAAGGTTTAGCACGTCTAGACAGGCATCTTTGTGACTAAAGTCTCTAATTTATGTAAATAAAAAGCCGATTATAATAAGCAAATATTAGCGAATAGTAAATAAGTTATATATTTAAATTTAAACTATAAATATGTATAACCAAATGATATATTAAGTATCTCGACTTTATAAATTTATTTGAAGTTTATTAAAAAGGCAATCGCTTCTAAAATATTCTAGTAGAACTTCGTCCATGACTGAAGAGCGACGGATTTCGAATTCGCGTTACTTCACTCGGTAGGCTAAATTAAAGCGACCATTCACTCTGGATAAGCAATCGATTCTTACCTTTGTTCTAAAACGTCCTTAACTTAAGTAATAAACGGTCAACGAAATATAGAATTGTTACACAGGAAACCTTCATATTTTTGAAAATCGCATCAGGTACGCGATAAAAGAAATTTCAACAACGGTCAGACACCATATTCTTCAACAATTTTATGAATTTGATTGCGTATGAAGACAAATATTTCGAAAATTCTATTTCGTAGTCCAGCTACTACTTGATTTGAATACCATTGTATAATTTGAATATTTCCGAAATTAAATTGACACGCGCCACTCTGTATGGGGTCTACTACAACATTTAGGACATTTAAGATAACATTTCATTAGTTTAATTAATTTGCGAATTATAAATAATATATTTAAAACGTCACCATTAAATGGTCCGCGGCGATATTACCATTTTTACAAAATTTCTCGATATTATTTATTATCAAATATCTTTTTTAAAATCTTCACAAAATGCTCTTCGTCCCTATCTGTAAATAATTTCAAAGACCCCAGGAAATTTTTCACCTACGGAGCTACGGCAATAACTTAAATTAATTCTATTTATCATTAATGAAAAACGAACGTTATATTAAATTATAAACAGTTTCCTTGTCGTCGTCGAGGGATCGTCAAATATTCTTAATTAAATATATAAAATATTTATACATAAATACTTGAACGACTGGTAATTTATTATAATAATCGGATAACAAAAATATTAATAGTAATTTAAAATAGCTCTAAATACTTCGCTGGAAGTGTGAAAATAATAAAATTTTGAATTTGAAATCCAAAATTTTATTATTACTTTGCGATAAGCCCCTTAGTAAACTATTGTACTGCTGAATGGTAATCGCAACAAGAAGTAATTTAATAGTTAAGCGGATTAGAAGCCGAATAGTAATAAAAGTTTGGATTTTAAATAATATTCACTCGTCGGTGCCACAATCTGTAGGCTAATTGTTAATTTCGGAAGATGTTTGACATCGTAAGTTTTATAAAGTTTTAATTTGACCAAATATATGAAATATGATAATAGAAATTGAGTTAATTGGAAGAAAAATCCAAATAAAGCACCGAAGAAAATGAACAACTTAAATATTTTCCTTTTAATTTTTGGTTCCGTGACAATTTGAGGGATTCCCGTCATAATGACATTCTCTAATATTCTAAGATACCGACGCGTATCGTTACTGCTTGGACTTTTTATAAATTTTATCATATTCATATTTGAACTGACGAAGAAACATTAGTTTAAATTTGAATACCAAAAAGCGCTAAAAATATAAAAACAAAACGTACCTTTCCTAGGTTAAATATGAATTGTTATAGAATTCGAGCCTTTAAATATTACTTTTTCGTTGATTGTATGATGCCTTTTGGGTAGTAATGAAAAAACTAATTTTTAATCAGATTGAAAAGAAAATAAGCTGAATTAGTAACGAAATGCAGGCGATAAATATTACAGCTACTTTCAATATCTAAAACTTCGTTTGTTAATTTAATAGCAATGCGCGGAGTTCCGTCATGTATTAAAAATATTTAAATCGATTATCTATAAAATTGTGCCTTAGTTAAAATAGATTAAATTGCGTAATACTAACAATAATCATTAACGTTAACTGTTTATATTAAAATGTGGACATTTTAATTTTAATATTGGACTACTGTACTGTATTTAATATTGTTTAAAAGATTTAATATTTGGTAACTTTAAATAATTATACTTCTATAAGTTTTATTGTATCACTGTCTTTTTACCAGTGGTTTAGTTCATAAATTCAACCGACGACAGACTTCTCACATACCAGCCAATGTTTATTTAAGAATTAAAATCTCTATGCATTTTGGAATCCCTTGCGCTTTGCAAAATCTAATTTGACTTTAGACTACGTATGTTGGCCATTAATCTAAGAAAATTTTTATCACAGATTTTTACTCTGATTGCTAATATATTGGTGGCAGACATTGTGCCACAAAGTTGCTCTTTGCCCGTACAAAAATCCAGATATGGCGGCGTCTTCGTCGACAGTGAAGATTCGAACTTGCGGCGCTGGTTAGCGCCCTGGCACTTTTTAATTTACCACTACATCCCTCGTTTAAATAGCTTTAGAATTTTAAAAACGGAACAAAATATGTATAAATGGGAATTGTTAGAACATTTGGAAATAATTATGTGTAAGGACTCAAAAATAATTAATAATTTAAGGAGGATAAATTGTCACGATTATTTAAAAATATATGTAGTGGAAATAGGAAAAAGACGCTGCTGTTTAAATTAATATAGATAGTCGATTGGCCTATTAGTAGATTATAGCGCTTTCGGTCGGAGGAACAAATCCGATATGCTAACGCCTCCTGATAAACTGTACGGAAGGAGAAGATGGGCTGAAATTTCCATATCAGGCGACGAAACCGAGGAAGACTGTAGTGCTTAAAGTGTGTGAGAATAGTATAAGAAAAAAGGAGATGTAATAAAAGTTGGAAATAGAGGAATGTAGGCAATAAATAGGTTTTATTAAAAATAATGCTGGTTAAATAAAATTGTTTGCTGTTTATAAACTAAAATATTACGGGAACGGTAAAGAGTGGACGGCAGTTTTGGTGCGTTGTTACAATTTGTACGCTTACTTGAGGAGGACAGTTGCTAAAAAGGTTAAGCAATGGAATTTGTTTTATGCAGATTGGTTGATAACAATTGATCATAGTGATAAAAAGTAAACGTAGCTGTTTAGAAATTGTATATAAAGTGTATTTATGTTATTAAATTTATGGCTGCAGATTATGTTTTATAAAACATTGTAAGCAGTAGTGATTATTAGGTCTCCATGTGTTATATGTCGGTTTAGAAAGGTTGTAAATTAAAAGCGAACTGAGTTGTCGAAATGCATACTGGAGTTTTAATTCTTGAATAAACATTGGCTAATATGTGAGAAGTCTGTCGTCGGTTGAATTTATGAACTAAACCACTGGTGTAAAGACAGTGATATATTAAAACTTATAACAGTATAATTATTTAAAGTTACTAAATATTAAATCTTTTAAACAATATTAAATACAGTAGAATAGGCTAATATTAAAATTAAAATTTCCAATTTAATATAAATAGTTAACATTAATGCTTATTCATAAGTTTTTTTCGTCCGATGTTCTTTTTATTTTTTATTATTTGAAGAAATTGTATCGTTTAAAATGCAGAAAACTAAAATAAATGGCGATTCCTACTTGGACGAATTGTTTTCAAATAATAAAAAATTAATGGTTATTGTTAGTATTCCGCAATTTAATTAATTTTAACATAGGCCTACTTTTATAGATAATCGATTTAAATATTTTTAATACACAACCGAACTCCGCACAATGTTATTAAATTAACCAACGAAGTTTTAGATATTGAAAGCAGCTGTATAATTATCGCCTATATTTCATTACTAATTTAGCTCATTCTCATTTCAACCTGATTAAAAATTAGTATTTTCATTACCCTCCAGCAGACATCATACAAACAACGAAAAAGTAATATTGAAAGGATCGAATTCTATAACAACTCTGCTCGAAACTGTTCATTTTGAACCTACGAAAGGTAAGTTTTGTTTTTATATTTTTAGCACTTTTTGGTATTCAAATTTAAACTAATGTTTCTTCGTCAGTAGAGATGTAAATATGATAGAATATATAAAAAATCCAAGCAGTAAAGATATGCGTCGATATCTTAGAAGAATGTTAGAGAATGTCATTATGACGGGAATCCCTCAAATTGTCACGGAACCAAAAATTAAAAGGAAAATATTTAAGTTGTTCATTTTCTTCGGTGCTTTATTTGGATTTTTCTTCCAATTAACTGAATTCCTGTTATTATATTTCACGTATCCGACCAATTTAGAAGCTTCGATTAAATTTATGGACGTGAAAGATCTCCCGAAACCGATAATTACAGTTTGTGACAACAACGGGTGAGTAGGATTTTAAATTTGAATATTTATTACTGTTCAACTTGTAGGTCTCTTCGTTTAGGTAATATTGGTCAAAATTTAATATTATTAATTAAGGTTTTAAAAGACCGATACTAAAATTAGAAGTGTATTATTGTTATAGTTCTAATAAACTGTATAAGTCTATGTTAACTTGTTATTAATATTTTTGTCATCTGATTATCATAGTACATTGTCATTCGAATATTTCGGTTAAATTTTTTATATACGGTAAAATCTGCTAATCTGATCTCTGAAGGGATCGTCTTAAAGTTGTCATGTTACACAAGTAGTCAGATTAGCAGTTTTACTATATTCAACTAGAACCATTCGTACCCTAGCATCAGGGGTTTCGATCCCTTCACTCAATATAGACTATTATAATGAAAATATTGTTTCTTTTTTCTGTGTGTTTATGACAACTTCAAGTTAAGTATTTTATATTGTGAAGCGGCAACACTAACTCAAAAAAAAAACAAATAACGCTACAAGGATTGTCAACACAATTCGAAATTTTTGGCATGAGAAAAGAAGCTCCTCGTGTGCATCGCGAAAGTCCCTTTTTTGTCGTCTTAATCCTGTCTAGCGAATCGTATTTCATATTTCTATTTATAAACAATAATGTTTGTTTTCTCATTTGTACTCTATACACTCCAAGGCCGTTCCACCAATTGTTACTAAACTCGGCAATTACGTTCAAATTCTTATAACTTAGATCATGTCATACATCCACCTCAAAATATCAATTGTATTTGCATGACATTACTCCATTACTGCGACAGGTAGCACATAGCATTGGCCTGTGTGGTGTGTAGTAGTGTTTTGCTTCCGTACCTCATACTTTTCCTGTCGTGCCGGTTATGTATTACATCTGTTCGGGGGAAGCTTTTTGAATCGAAATAACGTGACTCGCGGTGCAAATCGGAAGTTCGCACATAGTTAATGTAGTTCTCTTTCTATTACAATTTCCACGCCTGTTGTCGACTTTCATCTATCTCACTCCGTTCTCGACATTTCGGAAGGACGAGACAAACGGACGACAGTGGGAATTTAAAAGTCTACAGTTTTTAAATTGCAGCTCAATAAGTACCCTCCGGTAAACGAGTGAATAAAACCACCGAACACCGGTAGTCGGCCGTGGGTTCGAGCAAGACCAACGGCAGTTTTCTGGCTTTTCTTCGCGTTAGTAACACTTAAATTGGGAAGCTTTACTAGAAGTCTTTCCGGGATTTATCCTCCTTGGCAGATCGCTCAGAGACGCTCACGTTTCGAGTTGCTGTATGCTAAGCTTTGTTTATTCAACCTGGTTTCACCAGCTGTTTTACGGGATCATTTAATAGCAATTATTCTCGCATTTTTACAAGATTTTTTTATTTCAACAAGTCATATCAAGAAACTTAGCAACTTAAATCACCTTCGGGGCCGTCACAACCTATCCAACACGGATCATTTTTCAAATATTAATAGTAGACCGGTATTAATTAGTAGTCGTTGACCATCCTCTACTCCGGGAGGAGGTCAACTACTGTTTTTGATCGAATTATCCGCAACCCCTTTTCGCAGCAGTATCTTCTTTCTATCAAACCATCGATATGGGTTGCATCCAAATATAAACATTACATAATACGAGGGTGCTGGCCTGTACAAAATGTTTTAAGCGATTTTCGAGAGTGCCGAATATATTTGGTCGGTGTTTTTGAGAAATTTGATTGGCGGGCAGATTACCGTTTGATATTTGGCACTAGGGATTGTATACCGGTTTACCGATTTACCGGTTAACCGATAAATTGACAAAAAAACACTTCGGTAAACTTCGGTAAATGAAAAATTCATACTAGAAATTTTTATGTAGAGAATATTGTGTTTATAGATATTTAAAAGGGCTAAAGGGACATTGAAAAAAAAAAAACAGATAAGTGTAAGCAACAATATACCTAATTATTAATTTTATGTGAGATATTTTTTGTTTAATTTTAATTTAAACTTTCTTGGGTTTGAGAGGCACTGTAAATTGTACAGAAAGCTCTAGTTAGCATATGTGATTTGTGCTCTGCCGTTTTTTGAGATTTTTAAAGGTTTAAAATCTTTACAATCAACGTTTTTCTTAAAGAGTAAGTAAATATCTCTTTTTTTAATATTTAAAAATAATAATACGTAAATATTTCACGTATTTTTTAAATTAATAGCAATTTTGAATACACCACATTATGACAGGACATTAATGCAATATTATTGCAAAATAACATTAAAATTTGTACCTTAAATAAATTTTTTACTTCTAACAACTGTTTAAAATAATTAAATACAAATATTTATTACAAGATTCTAATATTATGCCTTAAGATTGCGCAAAATATGTATTATTCTAACCCTATTTTTGTGGGGAATCTCCATTACTCTCACGAAAAGAACTTCCTTTAATTTTCGCTTGTAGAACCAGGTGGAATAGCTTACTAAACAGGCTGGAAAGATTTTTATTACTTAAAGATGCTGTTCGAAAAAGTCTAGAAACCTAATCTAACCTAATCTGGATTATTTTGTACAAAAATTAGATCAAAATTAGGAGATAAGACTTTAAATAATTTAAGTTTCTTGAGAAGTTATTTTTTTTAAAATGGTAATCGATAAAATTGTATTAGATACTATATATTATTTCTGTTTTATTTTTATTTTTCTGTATTATTTTATGTATCTAAAAGTTATTATTACAGTTTGTTTAGAATAACACTTTAATTTATATATTTTTTATATTCTATATCTTTGAAATAAAAAATGTGAAATGGAAATCAAAATTACTTATATTTTTTATCACCTTAATTTTATTTTTCAGGAAAAAAATTACCGGTAAATTTTTTCCGGTAATTTAATTTTCATTTACCGAATTACCGGTAAATGAAACAGTCCGTAAATTTACAATCCTTATTCGGCACAATTTCTTAGTATTAACATTGGGAAAAAACGTCATATCTTAAAACATTTAAAGTATCATATTTTCGATTGGTGTCTACTCGATTAATGAGTTGCACCATTCCGTACCATTCGGGTATCGCGATAAACGTGATAAAGGTAAGTCAAATTAATCAAACTCTTTACGTGGTTTTCGTTTTAATATTCGTTATATTAGCGTATTTGATTTATATAACGACAATGATTATCTTACGTAGGGGTTTATCGCACCGAGCGACCAATCTAACACATTTTACATTAAACATTTGTTTCTCTACTGTACACAATTCAAAGAAATTTTAAAACGTGATTGCTTGTTCACTCAGTGTGATAAATTATTACGTAAGATAGTCTTTTCTTGTTATATAGATCAAATACTGTAATATAATACGATACCAGGCTTAGTAGTGCGAAATAAGCTAATAATCTTAATGTTTCTTCCTACTTTTTGCCGAGCAACGTCGAGCTTATCTACTAGTTAAGTATAGATTTTAACCGTAAAACTCTTAAGAAAAAATTGTCCCGCATTACCGCTTGCCCCGAACAAGCAATACACCTGTTCCAACACTCTGAAGTGATGGGTTGAACGTAGCCTCGTCACAATATATATATAGAATATAGTAAAAATAAAGGGCTTCCGACAACTTCATCTACGAAATTATTCCTAATTTAATTTAGTATATTATTTGCATTTCACTAATGAATGTAATTAATTAAAATCCGTAAATCGAATGAGAAATAACTTCTGATATTTTAAAATTATTTATAGTGTACGACGAACAACTTTTTGTCGAGATGTTCCAAGAAGTTGTGAGAAAACAGAGTTTATCAAAGAAGTGTGTGAAAATTTCGACTATTTTTGTAAAAAGGAAAACTTCACCGAAGAAGATTTAAAGGTAAAGTATCATAAACTTTCGCTAAGTTGATTATCAAAGTAATCAAGTAATGTTTAACAATCAATTGTATACAATTTATTCAGCGAGTTACATACTTTAAATAAATGGTAATTTGAAATTATAAATTACAATGCATTAATTCTTTGTTCTGATTATTTACATAATACATTATGAAAATATTTTTATATATAATTTAAATATGCATTAGAAATATAACTCAAATTTTCTGGGTCTGGATTATATGGGCTGTGAATGCGGTTGATTTTGAAACTAACCTCCAATTTTTAAAACCCTTTTTATTCTTTTTTCACTGTTTTGTGGCTATTTAAAATTTTATATAAAGTTTCATTGAAAAAAGGAGAAAATGCATAATATAAATTGCTTACTTTTATTAAAAAACGGACTTCGCTATTTTCGAAACTTTACGCCTCGTATCTAGCCTATAAAGTACAGTACACTGATCTCATTCACCGATACGAAATGTTTGAGAAGTCGTCGCTTTACGAAAATACGAAATGCAATCCTTAATGGGTTGTCGATTAATAGATAAATGCGATAATTCGGAAAAGTAAAATGTATTATGCATCGCGAGTGTCAAAGTTCAACTGCCCGACGTTGGTTTAGAATGGTCTATTAAAGTAAGAGATATCTGTACACGTCTTCCCGTGAATTGAGTAAAACTACAGTTAACGAGCTATTGCTAATTTTAATTCAATTATTCTAGTTAAACAAATAACCATTCACTAATTTTGAACTTTATCGAGTCGCAAGCGTTGGAGGTGTCGTTATCCAAAAATGAACAGATGAAGCAATTGTTGTTGCTTCATCTGAACTAAAATGGTAAGAAACTGACTTATAATCTAACACTTTCGTTCAATTTTTAGTTTCCTTATAACTTCCGGCAAGAGTGTAATCGATCAATAATTGATGAATACGGTATTAGAGAAGAAGATATTTTACCTGATCTTTCAGTTAATAAGTAAGAATTTTTCAAGGTGTACTAAAATTACGACAGAAAATTCGGAAATTATATCTGTTGGCTATCTACTTTTCACAGTATTACATTCCGAACAATTCAATTGGATGAATTATTAAGACACAGGAACTGTTATTCTATTTATCCTGAAGTTTATATGGAGCGGAAATATGATATATACGATATGCATAGTAAGTATTATATAATATATATGTGTGTGTAAATAATCGATAGCTTTATTTGCATATACAGTTGAACCTGTCGATCTCGAATCTCATAGGAACGAGAAAAAAATGAAAGATTGATTTCGAGATATTCCTACATAGTCTGTCTCAGTGTTGATCGCATCCACATACGAGCCTCTCGACCCCTTGTCTATTCCGATTTCTTTTTTCCTATCGGCAACTTCACAAAAATAAAAGTAAATATTGTGTTATTGCATCTAAGATAATGACGTACGGTTTGGTGGGTACTCGGCAACGGCTGGTAACCAAACGCTGTCAATAATCCTTTGCAAATTGAAAGTGTTTTTATTATTTGGATTAAATACTTATAAGCACGAAACCAAGCGCTTAATTTCGAGCTTATAACACAAGTAAAAATTTTGTGGGTACAGCTTCCAAGTTCCAAGATCATGTTTATCCTACCAAACAGAAACTAAAATGATTTAACTGTCATCTAAATTATCATTATCTTTTACTTGGTGCAATTTATTTTAAATATCACATGTTTCTATTTGGATTCAACATTACCTAAAATCTTCCCTTGTACGATAAACTTTAATATAAATTCTAGAATTGCTTTGTTAATAATTTTTGTTTTGATAACATTAAACACGAAAAATTACGACTTAACGTCGTTTTTGTTCTTTTTAGAACAAAAACGACGTTAAGTCGTAATTTAATTTAATTACATTTTAGATAAAGATACAAAATCAATTGGTTCAGTTCAAATAAAATTCAACCCCGAGGAAACGACTCTACCAGGTAATCCAATTAGTGTCGTAGCGGCAATACATTCTAAAGATGTCATCGTCAATCCATTTATAAGTGGAATTACCATGACTCCCGGAAACAGATACATCGTCCAGTTAACACCCGCAAGTGATTGTTGAATTCGAAATAAATACTTCTACTTTCGACTGAATTTATATTCAATTTTGCTTTTACAGATTGTAAAAACTCTTTTACCTTCTCCATTTAGCACAAACTGCGAAAACTACTTCGATTCGCAAAACAATTCATTTTCATTCCCTCGCTATGTAAGTTGAAATTAATGTTAAATTGTAATTAAAACAATAATGCCTAAAGATAGTTTGTATTTTTTAGCGTTGTCTGGCGGAATGTAAAAAAAAAACTTTCGCTGAAAACATGTGGGTGCATATCAGCTGAATATCCTTTTGTTTCTGATGAAAAAGTTTGTTATAGTTGGGGTAAAAGTTTACTTATTTATAAATTGGTATGAAAAGTATAAGAAATAAAAATGAACGGGCAATTATTAATGATACTTTAAATTTAATTCATTTAAAATATTCTCTGTACGTCAATACTGTAATATCTTGCCCCTGTACATCATACTTTTCCGTTAGCAAAGGAGTCGTGCCGGTCACATATATAATTGATTTCAGGGGATACTATACAAGAATTTCCGCTGAAAACCGAAAGTTGTTTCAATTCAAAAGTTGAATTGAAACAACTTTCGGTTTTCAGCGGAGATTCTTTTATAGTTAATCGGGCCGTCTGACACTGTGGTTTACATATCTTGTTTCGGATTTTATTTTTTTGTTTTTCTGTGCTCTCAAGAGTCAGGAAGGACAGGCGGAAGAACGGAGAAAGGACGAACATAAGTGGAAATTTATAGTTCTACAATTTTTTCAAATTGCAGCTTAATAAATTACAGTTTGTTCNTATATCACTTAGTGAAAAGGTAAAAGCTAAAGACATTAACATAAACAGATCACTTTAGTTTTTACTGAATATTTCTTTCCATTGTATAGTACTTGTTCATTGTATATTTTAATGGCTAAATTGTTTATTGAGTGTGGAGTAACATGCTTTTGCATTACTTTTATATTGAATAATAAAATAAAAAATTTTTTTATAACAGATGATTTGCAAATAACTTTAAGAGGAAGAGAAGCATTTCAGGAAACCATTGAAGAAGAAGTAGAAAAATATAAGAGAGAATTGATTTCTTTACAAAAAGATCTTGAATATAAAGAAAGTAGGCTGACCAGTGAAAATGAAAATAAACAAAAAGAATTGGAAGATTTGAGAAAGGAATTTTTAAATGAAAAGAATAAATCAGAAAAATTACAGCAAAAGTTAAAAGAATTAGCTTCGTCTAAAGGAACTGAACTAGAAACATTAACTAATATTGATACTTTAAAAGCTGAACATAAAGAATTAACTCAAAAAGTTAACAAGCTTGAGAAAAGTTTAAAAACAAAAGAGAACCATTGTCATGAAATTCAGGAAAAATTAGATTCTGCAACTGCATCGAAGAAAGAAATTTTGAATGAAAATAAGCAATTAAATTCAAAATTAACTGAACTGGATAAAGAGGTATAGTAATNTTTACCTTCTCCATTTAGCACAAACTGCGAAAACTACTTCGATTCGCAAAACAATTCATTTTCATTCCCTCGCTATGTAAGTTGAAATTAATGTTAAATTGTAATTAAAACAATAATGCCTAAAGATAGTTTGTATTTTTTAGCGTTGTCTGGCGGAATGTAAAAAAAAAAACTTTCGCTGAAAACATGTGGGTGCATATCAGCTGAATATCCTTTTGTTTCTGATGAAAAAGTTTGTTATAGTTGGGGTAAAAGTTTACTTATTTATAAATTGGTATGAAAAGTATAAGAAATAAAAATGAACGGGCAATTATTAATGATACTTTAAATTTAATTCATTTAAAATATTCTCTGTACGTCAATACTGTAATATCTTGCCCCTGTACATCATACTTTTCCGTTAGCAAAGGAGTCGTGCCGGTCACATATATAATTGATTTCAGGGGATACTATACAAGAATTTCCGCTGAAAACCGAAAGTTGTTTCAATTCAAAAGTTGAATTGAAACAACTTTCGGTTTTCAGCGGAGATTCTTTTATAGTTAATCGGGCCGTCTGACACTGTGGTTTACATATCTTGTTTCGGATTTTATTTTTTTGTTTTTCTGTGCTCTCAAGAGTCAGGAAGGACAGGCGGAAGAACGGAGAAAGGACGAACATAAGTGGAAATTTATAGTTCTACAATTTTTTCAAATTGCAGCTTAATAAATTACAGTTTGTTCTTTAAGTGTGAATTGTATATTCTTAAGTATACTCAATTGACACTTAAGTAACAAAAAGTAAAGTAACAAATGCAATTTTTTCATTTTTGTTTCTTCATTTTATATAATTTATAATATTTTATTTTATTTATTCATATTTTTCATTTTAGAAAATTGGAAATGTTTTTCTTCAATAAACTCGAAATTCTGCACGGATAAATGTCCAAAAAGTTGCGAGTAAGCGCAATATTCCTTATTTCTAATTAAATAACTGAGAAATTATAATATTAAATATATATACGTTTTAAATAAAATCATACAAAACGATAAAATATTCCAAATCCATATAATTTTAGTTATCATTTAAGCGAATAATTCGCAAATCTCAGTTTTTTTCCCTTTTCGAACTCTTTGTAAATACGAATTACAAATAATAGTTTGTAAAAATAATCACTTATACTTATTTATACGTTTTTAGATTATGTTATTTATATTTTACTTGCGTTTGCGTTTAATAGAAATCGTTCGTATTAAGTCCAGTCATTATGAACGTGAATATAGCAAAGTTTCATTGTTTGCTTATTATAAATATATACCGGTATATAGAAAAATAGGATGCAATAGGTCACCGGTGCCAAACTACGTCCTTCTGGCCAAATTCGGTCAGCGATACGCGTTAATCCGACCCACGAATATATTTGACACATCACTTATATGTGATAGAAGTAGGCCTACTTTTGCTCCATCCTTCAATTATAACAATTTCAGCAACGTGTTAAATATCTGACTTTCCATTACACGATTGTACAGTAATTGTTATTAATCATTATGATGTCTTTGTTACGTAATAAATGACATTAAGATATAACATACCTGTTGATGTATTGAAGTACATAAATATTAAGGTTAAATTTTAATAAATAAAACATACTTGTATAAACATAAAACGTATATATATATATATACTTATGAATATTTATAATTTTTTAAGGTTTACAGTGTTTGAATACAGTGTGAGAGAACGACCGTTCATTAAAGTAAGTTGAATGATATTGAGATATAAGTAATGTGCAAGTTTTAAAGTAATAAATAATACGCTATTAATTTTTAAACTAATAATGTGAAATTAATACTCTTATGAACGTTTCAGCAATTAACACTTTATGATTCAGTGGAACACGGGTAATTTTTAATTTTCCAAGTAGAAATATGTAAAATTATAAACGATAATTTAAAACTTATTTTTTAGACGAAAGTATGCCATGGTAAATTTAATATTTAAAACTCAAGAACTATATACGTACAGTTTAAAACCCAAGTTTCAGGTAAATTTAATTTATAACCTAAAAGAAACGTGAAGAATTAATTTTTTCATGAAAATTTTATAATTATATTTATTTTCAGCCCATCGAACTGTTTGGCTACGTCGGAGGATATATTGGGATTTGGCTGGGAATATCTCTGATCGCAGTTTGCGATTTCCTAGAAGCCATCTTTATTTATTTGTATCATATTATTACCAGAAAAATTCCTAATATAAAGTAACGATAGAAATTTACTCGTTCTCTGAAATATTTAGATTTTTGATATTGTATAACTTCTAGAATGCCCGATTTTTCTACCTGCCTGTTGTGGTCTGTTTTTAATTTAAACTTACTTTTATTTCACCAATACAAGCTCTTCGATTACGATAAATCATTATAGTGTAATGTTTAATAATTATCGTTAATTTCGAATAACAGCAGCTCGATGCGGATGTTAAGTTATGAAGACGTGAAAAGTTATCGTCAAAATTGAAATGAATTCATTAATTAATTTTACAAAAGTATTTAGTTTCTTCGATGAAATGTATAGAAAATTTAAAATATTTTTAGTTAGATAAATGACAATAATATTGATATTTACTACAATTAGTTTTTCTCGCTCGTAACATTTGATCTAATTGCATTGATTTGCGTGGAATTTGGAAATTAGATATTACTAACATAAATATATTTATCGTGTTTTTAATCATTATGTATGATAATTCGCATCGTGAGTATTAAAATAAATATAAATATATTTTTAAAAGTTATAAGTGCAAACGATTTCTTGTGTATTTAAAATGATAGGTTAGAAAATTCATTGATTTTCGTCATTTAATTAATTTTCTGTAATAATTTTAATTTATCGACTTCGTGTTTAACAATAACAAAAATGTTTACTAATTTAAAACTCGCATCGAGGAGTGTATCCGGTATGCGTATTAAATAATAATAATAATAATAATAATAAAATAATACTAATTTAAAAATAATTTTCAAATATAACCAATAAATTATTAACGTTTATTGTTTTATAGAATTTACAATACAGTGAATTATTTTACAATGGACCTTTTTAATTACACAAATATTTGATTTCTCTTCTCCGAGTCATCTTATTACGTAGAAATGCATTAAACAATCATAAATAATTATGCAAATACTACCTTTTTACATACAATAAACGAACAAAAATATTCTGCAGATAGAAAGATTCTTTTGTTATTGATTAAATTAATTAATTACCTTCAGATTTTTTTGTATTCTCGTTGTATTATAAGATATTTTATTCAAGTAATTATTGAAAATGGAATTTTAGTTTAAATTTTGATATTAATAAATAATACAACTTAAAAATACATTACACAGCATTATATCATAAATTATAATTATTGTTATTAAAGTTAAAAAGTAGTTTTACGTATTTTCGAAGCCTCGTGTCTTCTAAATATACAATTTGACGAAAAACTAGCTCATTTGTTTATATAATGCTGTAAATAAATCATCCAACGTAAAGCTATCGGTTAAAAGTAAACTAAATTATGATCCGTGTTTCACTCTCGAAAATAGAAAGTGAAAGAAACTAAAATAATAAACCATGTGCGGTTTGTATTAAAAGGGTATAACAACTATTCACGTAGCATAGTCTAGACGTTAAAGTATTTTTCCCGGTTATCACCTTCTATTGTTAATTGCGCTTAAAATTTGACACGCAAAATTAAAAATGGATTATGAATAAAGAAATAACGACTAATAAACATTATTCGTTTTAATTCCTATTCTATCTTTTATGAGATGCAGCTGTCCATATTTTACACTATTATAACATAAAACAATGCACGTGACAATTACAGTCGGCTTTCCTACATTACAAGCATGCTATACAGGGCTGCAAAAATTTTAGGGGCTTGTATCTCGTTGATAAACTGTGAAGACCCCTTTTATTGGAGCATTACTGCTTCTCTTGACATTTTCTACTTACTTTTTAGTCTAATTTCTCAACGCTTTATAAAAGAATACAGAAAATCGTAATCTGTTATAAAAACATCTGTCCAAAACCAAAATCCAACTGTCGAGAGATTGGGGATTAAATAACACAAATTTCAAATGACTTCTACTTTCATTTTCTGTTAGATTTATTGTTTTATTCCGAGAAATATATAAGAAATAAGATAATATAGTTGTTAGAAAAATATTAACAAGAAACAGCGCTTTCGTTATTAATAATCTGTGCTATTTTTAACTTAAATTAAACAAACAAGGCGATGTATAACTGAAAGAGTTTGCTTTTTGTTCTAAATTTCTTTTCTATATTTTTAGCAGATGTTTTAGTGACGTGTATAAATAGCACAAAGTGCAATATAATGATATTTTAATAAATTCGCATACATTGCAAACTCGTTATTAATAGGCCTGTATGTTTTCAAAATACATTCGATTTAACAAATCTTTGAAAATGGCGGACACCCGTTCACCCAGTTAATTCGTTAAATGGAGGGTCTACACTATTATTATTTAATATTTTTTTTACACATTAATAAATTGATAGATNTTTAAATAATTATATTTAGTTCATGATAATGATAACTTTAGTTTTTAATCCAAAACTAAAGTTTGAAGTCTTCTCAGTTTCATTTATTTATTTATATGCATTCAATTTGTGCTTAATAATAATTTATATGACTATAGAATTATTGCAACAGTGTAATTTTTCTTCTTTATTGTATTGCATTACCGATAGTATACTACATTATTGATACTTTGAGTTTCAGGATTGTATTTGTAGTCTTGGAACCTTCTTGAGACATGGTGTATATCAAAGAAAAATGTTTAGAATATGTAGTAATGGCTCTGTTTTAAGTCAACGATACAATCAACACACTTGGTTTTTTTGTTTTTTTACTTTTCTGCTCTATGGACACTAAGATGGCTACTTGCATTTTTACAAATCATTGAAAGTTGAATTATGTAGTTGTTTTTTTGCACATTTATTAAGTTTGCTTTGGCTTAGAGACATATTAAAATGACTTACACCCTGTAAGATATTGTTAAAAAATACCAGAACACTAATTTCTAACTCACAAGTGCACAGTTTATTAAAAGNAAAAATATTAACAAGAAACAGCGCTTTCGTTATTAATAATCTGTGCTATTTTTAACTTAAATTAAACAAACAAGGCGATGTATAACTGAAAGAGTTTGCTTTTTGTTCTAAATTTCTTTTCTATATTTTTAGCAGATGTTTTAGTGACGTGTATAAATAGCACAAAGTGCAATATAATGATATTTTAATAAATTCGCATACATTGCAAACTCGTTATTAATAGGCCTGTATGTTTTCAAAATACATTCGATTTAACAAATCTTTGAAAATGGCGGACACCCGTTCACCCAGTTAATTCGTTAAATGGAGGGTCTACACTATTATTATTTAATATTTTTTTTACACATTAATAAATTGATAGATTATATTTTATTAAAGAAGTAATTGATACCTTTTACCTTGGCATTTTAATAGGGTCTGCGTTATTCGACCATCTGTGGATACTGTTAGAGCCGTATAGGCAACAGTTAGAATCTAGACAATGTATCATTTCCCGGTATTCTAAGTTAAGTCTTACTGCTAAGGCTGTATGAGTAAATATGGCAAACTTAGCCCTGCCACGAAAGTCAACGTAGATAATAAATTAATAATAAATTGTTAAAGTTTGTTAGAGAAATTCTCAAATCAAATCAATGATATATTCTTATGCCTTAGTTTTTTCCTACTCATGGTCATTAGAAAAATGACGAGAATGAAGCCATGTCTGTTCACAATAATCCCACTTCCACACTTCTAGCAGTAATACTACGTAGTTTAAAGATTTATAAACTTTTAACATGTTTATTAAGAATGTGGGATCTTTTCTCTATCATAATCAAATTCATATTGCTTAAGTCACATGCTAACTTTATGCCTTTTCTGATGACACTTTACAAACTCAAGATAAAGGTATCTTAAGTTTGTAAAGTGTCATCAGAAAAGGCATAAAGTTAGCATGTGACTTAAGCAATATGAATTTGATTATGATAGAGAAAAGATCCCACATTCTTCACAAGGATTGTTCAATGAATAAGTTTGTCTGCACTTTATTCATGAAGGCTATTAGATGTTTTTTCAAATAATTATTATGAAATCCATGTTTTGCAAGTCATTTAAACAGACAGTCTGTTATTGTGGACAATGTTTTATTGAGTAATTTAATTAAGTCAAGATCTTTATTATTATTTGTTTCTCCTTTTACTTAATCTATTAAATGAATTTCTTACTAATACTAGTAGACTCCTCAATAAGAATCTGTATGTTTCTGTTTATGCCAATAATTTGTTTATACAGCTTTAATTTTATTTCTCTTATGATAATGCTCTAATATATTTGTAGCATTCATTGTCAAATTCAAGGTAAGGCCAATGAATGTACCATTTAATTTTTGAAGTTGTAGCAAATCAAAATGGTCAGAGTACAGCCTGTTACATTATGCAATATAATTCACATTTCTAAAACTTTTTAGGGTACTACTAACTTCAGATTCATTGATACAATGAATTATTGTTTCCGAATTTTGCCCCTTTTTTTTATAGCTGCATGGTGCANATAAATTATCTTTATAAGAAATTTAATAGCAAATTGTTTAGAAATAGCAAAACAAATTATCAATATTAGATTACGTATCTGATAAGATATAATACTTTTGTTACAATATCTTCGTAATTTTATAATTATCTTTCACTTTCACTTTATACCTTCAATTTTTATTTAAAATTATTTTTGTCGTTTAAATTATGTAAATGAATTAAGGAAATTAAAACTTTTTTCTCCTATTTACATAATTTTCAAGAGAGCGACGTATCAATTTTATTTAGTAATTATATATCGTGTTGTAAATGGCAATATCCCGAGTAACTCCGTTAATAAAACTGAAACTAAAATATTATTATAAAAAAGAGATCGACCAGATTTATATGTATTTAAAATCTGAATAGGCTACATGCAAGTGAAAATTCTATATATGTGTACGTTAAAATGAATTATGCGTGTTAAAAGCGCTAATAATATTTTGTAAAATCTGTAAATTGAAGTTAATACATACTTCTGTCCGAGAGAAAATCTTATTAACGTCTATTACTAGGATCTATTACGTCACACTTTTCAGGTGAGAGGGGATAAACACGAGTTAATAAATGAAATAGGCGACAAGGGATTTAGAAATTACGACGTCACAGAAGACGTCGTAATTTCTTCGCTTAATATTTTTCACGCCAGCTGTACAGTACGTGCTCAAAAAAGATTCACTGTACAGTACAATAGCAGAAACTGACTATAGATCGTTTGAAAAGAACAGTACTCGCAATACAGTTTATAAATTTAGTCTCGAAAATGGTCAAATCTGCAAAATATGCATGAAAAATCATATAAATGCGTATTTTGCTAAAATTAATATATTGTAGAACATATATAACGTGTTATCAGGCAAGATTTTTGAACAACTTTGACCTAATCCGTGTTTATATAAAGGTTTCAACCTCGTATGCTTCCTCATTAAATGCAATAAGTCCACCAATTAAAGACGAGTTTTATTTTTCTATTATTATAAATTTTTATATTATTATAAATTTAAAGATTTATTTAATAGTTTTAACAAAAAAATTTAATTCGAAGGTGCGTAAAAGTACACGTTTCTTCAATAAAATGAAGTTCGGGTAAAACTAGCAACATACGGGCAAACAGTAAGATATTAATTTACTAATTAATTATTATATTATCACATTTTATGACAAGTACGGTACATATTATAAAGTTATTACCTAATTAATATTTATTATCAAAATATACCTCTCGACTATACATTAAGTTCTATTACGTTTGGATCTGTACATCAATAAATTTCAATATCGCATTTTCTAACATCTGCAATATTTTTATATAATAAATATATTTTTTCACGATACAGAAAAATACGTAAAATTTCTTCGGTCTTTATTTTATTGTATTTCTCGCAATATAAATAATCTTTATGTTATATTATTTGTAGATTTATCTAGTTTAAAACCTGAAAAAATGTAAAAAACGTTGTACAATTTTTAATAATTCGTACTTGTATACGTTACGTACAGTTTTTAATTTAGTTTTGTATATTAGTTTTGTAACTATTTAATTTATTTTTTATGCGTACTCGTCGATTTCTTTTATTGTTTCTTTGTTTGGACGAACGGATATGAATTGTATTTCGGAACTTTTCCTGTTTTATTAATAAAAATAAATAAATTATGGCCTATTTTAATTATTTATCGTAAAATAACACTTTAAATTAGATAGGAAAGAGCAACGTTGCTACAGAATTGTGCAATATTTTTCAAAACGAAAGTTAAAGCATTTGACAAATTACAAAGTTTTAATTTTATTTCCATTAGCCAATCCGATTAAACACGAACTCGTGATTTCATTATAAAAAAAACAAATATATTTTATTTAAATAGCGGAAATAATTTCCAATTACGCCAGAAAAAGTTACTCTTGTATTTAAAACACTACCAATATAAATTTGTTGATCCAGCGAGTAAGTATCGTTAAAGTTACTTTAAAAATTAGAAGTAATATATAGTTTAGAGTTACCTTTAGTTTTTTTAAATATTAGTATTCAGTATTACATTTAAAATGTACATAATAAAGACAAATTATTATAGACATTGTATATCATATGACTATTTGCGGCGGAATTGTCTTCCGAAGAATTGCTAGAAGAAATTTAATAACGTACTACACGACAAAATTTTAATAAATTTTACAAACAATTTTATTTTTTTGTAATACAATTCCAGGGGTGTGATTATTTGAGAACTCGTGTTACAAAAATAAAATCCTTTTTAAATAAATATATTTAATAATATTTTCAATAAAATTTTTGGAATTGTAAATCATTTTATTTTTTCATTTGATTTTAGGTTAACTTTTCGGCCGATATGGACGATCATTTGAGTACCGAAACAGATGAGAAGTATAAACTTTCGAAAAAGTACCACTTACCAGAATTTCCAGTCTTCTATAGAAAACATTTATTAAGTCAAGAAACTGAAGAAGAAGAATTTATATCCCTGACTCTTCACAGAATCTTTCAAAATGGTATGCGATATTCTTTCATTAAATACATTATATCAAATGTAAACAATAGATAAGACACTTCTAGGAGATATGCTTAAATCAATTAGAATTTAGTTCACAACTAGAATACGTGCGAAGGAAATTAAACGGTATAATTATTTTATAAAAAGCAAGTTTTAAAAATTAGTTAGCACTTTTATTCTCATTGTTAAAATAATTTGAATTGACATTCGTAAGTAAGAACATTGTGATTGTGATTTAATAAAAAAAAATAAGTGAACTCACGCGAAACGTAACAAAGTAATATAATTATTTATGTTTTATTTTTCTGTTCAACAACTAACCTAATTCAATAATTAAAACTATTATTCACCTTTAAAAATGTGAGTTAAAGATTGTTTAATTTATAAAATATTCTATAAACTTGTTAATGTGTAATTATTTTAATATATTTCAAATTTTATTAATTTATTCTCTTAATTTTAAATCTTTTATTACAATTTATATACAGCAGTTTTAATTTTCACAGGTAATTACAAATTTTAATTTCAAATACATAAAATCCTAAAAATGCATAAATTAATAAATTAAATTTTTAATGAATCTTTCTTTATAGTATGGATAACCTGTAATATAAATACTGTATAACAATATAATTGTAAAATAGTTTTTAAAAAAGTAATTATTTTGAGCCATTATTTTAAATTAAAATTGGCAAATTTATTCATTTATTTAATTAAGTGAGGGCACGAAAGGTCATCGAACACCACCTCGATATTTATAATATTTGTCGTGTAATATCGTAAAATGAAATAGTGTATAGGACTTATAATTAGAGTATTCGGTTATACGAGAATTTCAGCGAAGAAAACGAAGTTTTAATTAATACGAGTTTCTGTATAATGTGATCGTAATTTGCATCATTTCGAAATAACGCTTTCTTATAATAGAAGTAACGGTAATAAACCGATGTTAAATAACGTGAAATAGATTGGTATAAAAGTGGAATTAAATTAAAGTTATACGCGATATGGTGCACGAGAGATTTGAAACAATAAATACGGCCAGTAGGTCGACATTTGGAATTAATGAGTTCGTAAACAACGTGTACGAAAATCAAAAGAATACAATTGAATGCAACAAGGAAAATTTAGTCCTTACGGAGTAATAGAAAGGGTTATAAAACCAGTTATTAAAGTAGGTAATTTTTACAGTCATCGCGTGTATAATACATAAAATACAATTTAAAACGCTGAAAGCCGTAGATCGAACACAACACCACGAAATAAAAATCAAATTTAACAAATAATTTTGCATTTTCTTAATTCAAAATGGCAGAATTTGCCACCGAACCACAGTTCGAAATTTCTGTCTATCGGTTGAAAATGTAAGAAAATGAAAATTTGTCGTACGAAAATCAGTTTAGGAGGCGTAAAAATGTTTTCTACGGAGTCGAGTTGTCCGGAAATCGAGGACTGTCGAGAGAAGACTTACAAATGTGATTATTCGTACAAGAAATTAAGTTCAATTAAATAGACGTATTACATTTTTCTTCTTTAACTGGAATATATCGACAACTTTCATATGGATTTTAATATATTTTGTTAAATTTTTACAAAGTTTACTTAAATCTCTGTTATTGATATTCATTTCAGAAATTTCTCTTAAGACTTTTTTTGGTTAAAACTAAGCTTAAAATTGTTGCTTCGGTAACTATTTATAACTTCAACGAACACATCGTCAGAGATTTTAATACATTCCTACGAAATAATTGAATTTTCATAAATTTTCAAACGTGCACGTCGGAACGAAACCCAGGAATAAAATTACGATTGATCCTATGATTAATTTAAGTGCAATCAATGGTCTTATTAAGTTAAACGCACTAATTATAATAACTAAATAGAAAACTTTCGAATTTTTAATAAATATTATTTCCGACGATTTATTAACCGACAGGTCAAATTAAAGGAAAAAGATTACTCGACGTCGGATGTGGTCCGTCGGTTTACAGAATCGCGACTGCCAGTAGATTTTTCTCGGAAATTATTCTTTCCGAATACGCCGAATGCAATCGTAAAGAGTTGAAAAAATGGCTGGAAAACGATCCGAGTTCTTTGGACTGGTCTAAGTTTATCAAAATGGCGGCCAGATTTGAAGAAAATGGGTAAATATACATCGTTTTATGTATTATTGCGTGGAAATAATAAAATTATAATTTTGTTTCATTTGTAATATTTATTTGAACAGAAATGCAAAAATGGGAATCGAAGCCATCGAATCGAGGATAAGGCAGAGAGTGAAAGACGTCGTGCCGTGTGACATCTTAAATCAGCAAATTTTGGCTAAAGACATTGGAAAGTTCGATGTTATTTTTTCCGCTTATTGTTTGGAATGTGTCTGTCCTACGCCGGAAGCTTTCAAATCCGTTATTAAGAAAATAGCCAGTTATATTGTTCGGGGTGGAGCTTTGGTATTAATTACTATAATAGATAGTTCGCATTGTATCTACGTGAATAACTCGGAGCAAATTCAATTTAACGATTTATCCGTGAGCGAAAAATTACTTAAAGAAGCGTTAACGGAAGCTAATTTGACCGTAAAACATTGGTATTATAGCAAGGATATCGGAGAAGCTCCCATGACAAAATGCAGTGGAATAGTTGTCTCGTCTGCCATAAAGAGCGATGAAATGTAACCAACAAACACGAAAAACTTTTGCCACGAAATTTTCTCTGTTACTGGATTAATATGATATTATATTCGTTATATTTCTATAATCGGGATTGCCTAATGAACATATTGTGTAATTAATAAACTTGATATTTGTATATAATTGGAGACACGCGTAGCTACTAACATAGATTTTTCGAAATTTATATGTAAAAAGCAACCGGATATAATTAATTAGGGTAAAAACTGTTGAATTAATATCTAAAACTTTGTGTAGAAAATTAAAATAATATCTAACCACTATTATCTAACGATTAATACGAAGATATTCTGTATTAAGCAGCGAGTATATTTTTTATGATTTTGAGAGTTTTATTATTTCAATAAATTTGCATTTCGCATCTACAATTGAGCTTCGGATCTACGCATTACTGAGAAACAAATTACGGCATTATTTGCTGAGAATATTGATTATATACACTATATATAATAAATAACTTTGTTTACTAATTACATAGATTTATTTTGATTTAAGAAACAAATTTTGCAATTGTATTAAAAAATATTTCTGATGGTGAGTGTAAAGGATTTGAAATAAAACATATTATTATTACTATTATTATTAGCGGAGACTGGGGAAACTTCGGCATGCGGGGCAAGTTTGTCAAGCGCTTTTTTTAAAAAACAAATTAAAAGGAGACTTTGGTTATAGGTTAGGCAGTTGAGTTTTATTGGTGGCTTGNTGTAGGAGAATGACAGTGATGCAACAGTTTGTTCTAGAAGAAATTTATTTCTGCAGTGTTCTTTTGCTAGCAGTAACATTTGGATTTTTATAACACTAAAATGTGTCATAATTTTAAGCATTTTATCTACACATTTACAATTATGTATTTCACACACCTGTAGTAAAAGGTTCCAAAATACATTCTGACTCTGGAAACAAATACCTGAACAGAATTTCAATTTCAATAATCTGTTTAGGCCTAAATTTTTTGCCAAAGTTAAAAATTTTGTCACATAATTCTAGATCAATCAATCAATCAATCAATTAATAGATCAATCAATTTTTGTATTCGTTCTCTATATTCATATAAGATGTTTTTATGAACAAATTTTTTCTATAACATCTTATCTATTTAAAAGTTAAAAATCTCATATTTTGTTATGAATTTAAAAAGTTATTAATTATTAAAAAGTATCAACAGACAGCACTGATAATACTTTGCCAAACTGTTTACAACTACGAACTTTGTGATATTAAACAGAATATTTAAATCCATTGTGCATGCAAATACCCTAGCATCAGCTGATTTGTGCTAATAGGTAGAGTGATGTTAACTGGAAAAAAGTCCCATCATTTACTTACGGGGATTGGACTGGAATAAAAATTTTTGTGACAGTAATCAGCATGTGACATTGTGGGTTTGACTGTGTATTATTTTATATGCTGTTTTGCATTATTAACATAATTAAAAATTTCTTATTTCTTAAATTATTGGTTATTTAAAACAAATAGAAAGGATGATAAGTTTTAATAATTGGTTTAAGAAAATCTGTTTTTTTCATTATTTCCAAATAATAATAAGATTTATTTTTCTTTGGAATTTTCTCTTAAGTTTATTTCTTTAGTTGACTCCTGAATATGGGTTTGTAATCCAATAGCATTTAAATTTTTGATGCACTTCTGAGAATTTTCACTTCAGAAAAAAACAATTTGGGTTAGATTTTAATGATTCCTTTTCTTCTCAGAATTTGGAATTGTAGACCAAGTAAATAATGTTTCAGACATAAATAACAAATTCTTTTAAAATAAAAGAAAATGAATTTAATATAATTTTCTGATTCAAAACCTTTCTAATTATAAAATTTTAATGAAGAGTATCTGTAATGTAGTATTGTTCAGTTGTTAATTTTTGACTTGATTTATTTATTGCCAGTTGAAGTGAAAAATATCTGAATGTTGTTCAAAGCGAACTGTTTTGAGAAATTTTGGTAATTTGCCAAAAATTATAGTATAATACTAATATTTTTTCAATTCAATAAATTATAATAATAAAATTATATAATATAC